ACTTCCGCTTGGATAGGTAGCAGTTTTCTTGTAATCCTTTTCTTTACAGCATATCTTTTCTTCAGGCTCTTAACCATCTCATGGTGCAATCTGAGAGATTAGGAAGCCCTGAAGTGCACTGCAATGGTTAGATTCAACACAGGGACATGGACTAAGTAGATAACCTTGTACCTCAATGTTACATTTGGTGTTACTTGTTGAAGAGTGGAAGAAGAAATGCAAAACCAAAATTTTGATGGATATTTTTGTCGTGTAAGCTAGGGCAGTCTACAACTAATCTCCAGGCTTCCAGTAGATTTTTGAAATTTCTATACCTTTTTGGGTAAATCAAGTTCCCTGTTTGAAGAATGTGTATGGTGGATTTAACTGCAGAATGCAGTTCACTCTTTAAACATGTTCTATATATATAAAAAAAAAGCGCCTCAGAAATGATATAAAGCCTAAAGGAGTGTTGTACATGCACAGTTGGAGATTTGGTCCTTTTCACCTATGCACGTAGAAGTTATATATGCAGCAACCTGTATATATTGCGTAATGTTCTGGGAATGGAGATTGTGAATAAGTTTTCTGCGAATGGATCTGATAGTTGGGGTATGGAGAGGGAAGGGATGATAAGGGAAAAAAGAGGTTGGTGCCCTGGCTTGCGCTGTTGGATTTGTGGCGGGAGCAGTAAAATAAAGCAAGCTTCCCATTCGTCATTTTACTTGCGGGACGGATTGGATTCCAGCCAATTATGTCTGGCAAGTGGCAATGAGGAGAGCCAAAACAAATTTCATGTAAAGAAGAAAGAAATGCCGGCCCGGCAAATTACAAAATGTGGGTTGAACAGCTCCAGTAACTGGGTGCACTTGGTTCCACAAGACGATTCAGGAGCCACTAATATTTTCTAGCATCATTCCTTTTTCTTTTTTTTTACGGAGACATGATAAATCTATTCTATCTTATATCAGGGAGAGAGGTGGACCTGAAGAGGTTCAAGGGTAATCCGAAGAGACTGAATCACCATCGGATTAGATGGATGTTCTATGCACCAACCAAGTTTTAATGCTTTGACCGTGGCTACCAGCCAAAGGCCGGTGGTTCTAGTATCATTCCTATTGATTTGATTCAATCAGATAACTAATTTTATTTGGTTTTTGAGGGTTGAAAGCATTAATACCCTGTGGTGTTGGTTTGAGTTAATCTCCTGCCATGGCAATTTATACCCACCCATCCAAGTCCCAGACAAACAAATTGGCACTGAACATGGGACCAAGGGGACTGAATTTGGGACGCAGGCCTAATCTGCACTCGTTAGGTGTAAATTAGGTGTCTTAACCGATAGGCATAATTTAGATGAGTACACGTAAGCGTCTGAAGGAGCGACCTGGATACTTAAAAAATCCGTATACTGTATTAGTAGTATTATACAGGGTACAATCATCGTACAGTGCAGTGCACATGACGCCGCCCGACGTTGAGGAGCGCCAAGATATGCCCACAACCCGACCGAACATAACCAATTAACCGAATTCGCCTCCACTTCTTTGGAACCGCCGTCTCATCTTGAGCCTCAGTAAACTACCGCAGAGCAGCAGCGGCCGGCCCGCTGAGTTGACTTGGAAGGGGCGGTAACAGAAAGGAAAATGGATAAGCAGATGATCCAACCCATAGTCGCTGCGTTCATTTCTTCAATAATTGCTTTTAGAGCTTATAGAAAGAAGTCACTTGACCTCTCTGGAGCTCTCGCTGGCTTTATTGTTATGACCCTTCATATTGCCGTCAATTTCAGGCAGGTTCTGGAACCTCGGAACTCTAATCTACGGATGCTTACTTTATTATTATTATTTGAATTAGGTGAAGTTTTTTTATTTTCTTTGTGGGATTGATGGAGTTTGTAGGTTTGGGGCAATGTTGCTTGTTTTCTTTTTCACTTCTTCCAAGCTCACTAAATATGGAGAGGAGACAAAACGAAAACTGGACGCTGAGTTCAAAGAGGGAGGTCAACGGAATTGGTAAATTTCCATCCTTCCAATATTTTCCTCTGGAGTATCTGTGCTTTATTGGCAACGACATTTTTATGGTTAACCACAATGAACTAAATTTGTGTGTTTTGAGAGTCAATTAGTTTTCAGTTCTTACTATTTACGGTAATGCTAACTTCATCACATCAGTTAATATGAGAATAGCAACCGAGGAAAATTGGTGGAGATTTGAGCTTCAGCTAGAATAAGGCTACTTACTGCTTATTGGGCAGAAGGATCATTGAATTAGATCAGGAAATAATTCCAAATTTAGAATAGAAGCTCGTTGCCTTGTCTTTCCCTATAATTAATGGAAGCTAAAGCATTACATATCAAATACCAATTCAAATTCAATGGATTTAAAATAGTGTTATTGTGTGATCAGGATGATTAATTTTCCCATTTTCATCCATTGAATGCTCTACCTTATACTTCTGTAACTTTTGGGGAAAGTGGTTTTCCACTCTTTTCAAAACCGCAAGTAACACGTTACTCTTTAAAAAGCTTTTGGGAAGAAGATGAGTTACAGTAGGAGATGCCATATAGGGGACTGGAAATCAAAAGAAAATGCTAGTAAGAATTTGAATTGAACAAACAGCTCGTACAGAGGAATTATAACGTTCCACTTGTTGAGGTTTTTGTGCTTAATCTTTTTCGTTTTACCCATCGTCTCTCCGGATCTCTTCTTTGCAGGATCCAAGTTCTGTCAAACAGTGGCATAGCCAGCCTTTTGGTCTTGGTTGCATGGAAGTTGACTGGTCATCAGGACAAGTGTCTCGATTCAAAAGAATCTGGCAGTATGGTGTATCTAGTCGGTGCCATCATTGGCCACTATTGCTGCTGCAATGGAGACACTTGGTCATCAGAACTTGGGATATTGAGTGATGAGCAGCCTCGACTGATCACAACCTTAAAGGTCAACTTGATTATACTTTATCTGATATCCTTCCCAGTCCTCCTGCTTCTCCTTTAGAATAGGATTTTATTTCATCTGTAGCCACAAGATGTGCATTAAGTGTTCCTTGATATTGTTGAACTCATTTGGTATCCCTTCTGGTATGTGGTACTTGCAATTTGACCCGGTTACTAATTGTTCTAATCAAGCATAATGATAGGCCTTTTCCAGTTATATTTCCTTCATTTTTTTCATAATTGGCGTTTTGATGCGCTAGTATTCAAAAAGTCTCAACTTAATCGGGATGAACTTGTTCTTAGATGTTAAACCTCCAAATATTGCAACGAGAAGATGTGATGGTTTGGTTTTTATCAGCTTTTAAGTGCTGGTGAATGCTTCGATAAAACCCCTGAGTTCTTGTGTTATCTAATAATTTGTGCCATTGGTAAATCTTCCTTTTTCCTCCAAACCTTCTTGTCTGGTTTGCTTTAGCAGGCAAATCCAACTCATTTTTTAACTTTTGAAGCTTGAACAACTGGATGTTTATGTTTTAAGAGACACAGGTTATGAAATAGTCTATGTGAAGCTAGTCTTCAGAATTGCAATTATTATATTTGAATCAGTTCTGTGGATCTCATCTTTCTCATCCACCATATCAGCCAGTTCGGAGGGGTACAAATGGTGGTGTGACCAAAGCTGGACTTCTAGCGGCAGCAGCAGCGGGCAGTGTCATTGGATTGGCATTTGTTCTACCTGGTTACTTAATTACAACATGCTCTTTGGATGTAGCTCTGAAGCAGCTACTTGTCATACCAATTTCTGCTCTGGCAGGAGTTTCTGGAAGCGTCATAGATTCTCTGTTGGGAGCTACTCTGCAATTTAGTGGATTTTGCAGTGTCCGCAATAAGGTAACTTCTTGGTGGTTTTACAGAACAAATATATGCGCTGCAGTTATGTCTCTGATGATGATTTTACCTCCGACGTTAGTCATGAGTTCTCGCTGCCTGTTAATCATCTTGATTTGTGACAGAATAAAACAAAAAATAAAATGATTTATATAAGTGCGAGATGCACCCACTATTCACCACACTCATTCCAGCTTGTACCTTCTTTTCTAACTCCCCTTTTAAAAGAATAGTATCTTTATCATGTTGGTTTTCATTTATTTTTGCTGCCTAGCGGAAAATGATCGTCTTGGAAACGTGTAAAATGGAAAAGGATTCAAATTACAGGCATTCAAATTACAGCCAGAATAAGAGTATGTCACCCCGCTAAATCTCATCCTCGTTCCTGTAAATTTTCGTGGCCTGAACCTCATCTCCCAGCTACAACCTACCCTGCTCCCATTTTCAAATGTTTGAATGGCCTTTGAACAATCAGTGCTTGAAAATTAGCACGGTGATAATGCAGTTGTAATTGGAGATTATGCCACATCATGCGTTTGAGGCATGAATTTGAGCAACAATTTTGGAGTCTAACTTTAGTTAACTCATGAACACAATTGTCCACGGTGCATGTTCTGGTTAAATTGATCAACATGTTGATCCAAGAATCTCCCTTTTTCAGGGATTCAATTAATATCAACAGAAATGAGGACTTCGATAAACTGATGCGTACTTTTGTGCAGGTGGTTGAGAAACCGGGACCAACAGTAAAAAAGATCTCCGGTCTTAGCATTCTGGATAACAATGCTGTGAACTTCGTCTCCATATTGCTAACTTCTGCCCTCACTTCCGTTACTTGCTCGTACATTTTCTGAACTCCTCCACTCAGCTCCTTGTGAGTGGCTGCTTTCCTTTGTCCTTTCTCTTTCTTTTAGGAGAGGATCGAATTTTTTTTTTTTTTTTTTTGGAAAGAGGGGGGAGGGGGGTGGTTTAACATCCTGAATAGGTATCGATTGATAGAAAATCAGTCATTATGTTGCATCGCCAGTTACTTTATAATCTATCAGAAAGTAAACTAGATGAATGATGACTCAAAGGTTGAGCAATTCTGTATTTTTACAAGCTTTGTTACGAGAACCCTAAAACGTAGTTCCTTATTTTCCCGGAAATTGGATATAGGATAGAAGAAGGCCATGCTTGCAATAGAGAGAGAGTCGTGTAAACAACAGCTGTAAAATACTAATCCATAGAGAGAGCAAGTCACCATACACAAGCGATAAGTGCCAAACTCCACCGTCCCCTCTTCTGAGGGGTATCCCATATAAAACGGTTATTCATTGTACCAAAACGTTTTATTCAGTATATTAACATCAGATGAGATGAAGTATCCCATATAATCAGGTGCAGCAACAGCAGACAACGTCTAAGCAGCATTCACAGGTCTCGTAGCAGCAGAAACAGCAACATAATGCGAACAAACTGCACCCATAAATTAGCAAAATTAGACCATAGTTTTCACTTCAACCTTCCCTGTCTTTCATAAATACAAGAATATTCAGTGCCTAATACAAGAAATAGACTCTTCCAATGTACCCCAAAAAAAAATAATAACTCCATAGTAGTAATAAAAACTAGAAATATATAGACTAGTCAAAAAATTCATACACCGACATCCCATTTTCAAATTCTGAAGGGGAAAGAAAGCAGTAACGACTAAATGTAGGAAAAAGTCTCTAGTTGAGAAGATCAAGAGATTTTAAGAGCAAGTAAAAAAGAAAGTGAATCAAGCCCTAGGACAAACCAAGTATAAAGCACGCCTTTTTCTTCACGACGCCTTTGGAGGTGCTCCTGGTAAGACATCCCCTGGTACCCTGGTGCTCCATCCATGATTTTTTGTTTGTTTTTTGCTGGCTTTTCTTGCGTTACAGTTTCAATTGAAATTGGCAAGCCCACAACAGTGAACAGCTAGAGATAAAAGGAAAACTAGCCGGAAGGAATATGAAGATGGTACTACTACAGTACTACTATTGAGAGAGCAACAGTAGTAGCCAGGGGTATTAATAGCTAGTAAAGAGAGAGAGAGAGAGAGAGAGAGAGGAGGTGGGGACTGGCCCAAATTGACTGGAAATTCAATGGGAAATTTCCTCTGCCTCTCTCCGTATCTTTGATTTCTTTCCCTAGTTTCTCTGGATGGGTGTACCAAAACTGTGAACGGGCCAGATCACCAATGCCTTCGTTATTAAGCTTTTACCTTAGATGCTGCTCCCTCAGTGACGACGGGATTCAGTCCTACAACTACTCTCCCAAAAAATAAACGTATGTCTTACGTAACCCCAAAGAATTTTAAAAAAAACAAATTTTTTTTAACATTTTTACCCAATCAGGGTGAATTACGTATCCATTCATTTCCTCCGTTTACTTATCTATTCGGTACATTTTTGAAAGCAGTTGTAGAATTTATGGCGTCCATCCATGGTTTAGGCTGCGTTGGAAGATTGACCTTTAAGAGATTTGAAAAGATTGTCGTTTAAAGATGGATATCATTTTGATTTGTAATTCATCAATGTTAATAATTGATGAATTACAAATCAAACGCCTTCCAAATAATCGAAACAAATTACATTGATTTAAAAGGATTTTAAATCTTTTATCAAATCTCCCAATCTAAATGCAACGTAACAAAACACAATTAGTTGCATAACTGCTATTACCAATATAATAGAATTTTCCTATCACATATACATAGAATTGATTCCTACTGGATATTTTTTGGAAACATGTATTCTAGCCATCATATTGACCTTTAAAGATTTTGACCCAGACAAAAAGTGACAAACCAATCAACAACTGAGGGAAATGGATCAAACTAAAAAGATGGATCCATTTCCTTTTTGTTTCTGTTTTTTTTCCCCCCGCTGGGCAGGAGAAAGATTTATTAGACACCCGATAACATCCCATTAACAACGCACAAACTTTATCCAATAATAAAAGGCAGCATTTTTTCTTCACGGCGTCTTTGGAATGCGATGATAGTAAAAGATTGTCTTGAGATAGTTGTGCCTCAATGTCCATGTTTTCCCTTTTTTCTTATTTTTAAGGGTTCGTCTCTCCTACACTGACAGTGTATACACTATCAGTGTAAAAAAAAAAATTGAATTTAAATCAAAAAAGTCTAGGTGGCATCAAATAATTTCGAACCTATCGATCACTTGGAATATCTTTATAGATTATCCATCAACAAAATCCTGACATCTGGGCTTGTGTTCGATATGTGTCTTTTGTTTATTACTAATTTTTTTATACCGGCTGGCCCCTCCCCACTCTAATGAGGTTCTCAGTCCATCACATGGAGCTTTGCTTCCATTATCCCTTTTTTTTTTGTAAGCAGAATGACTCGAACTCGAGACCTCTTGCTTACACTCCCTCCCCCCTCCATTATCCCGTTTTTAAAAAATTAATAGATCACATTTTTTTTTTTTTTTTGAAAGAACATGCAATGTTACAATAAACACATTTCAAAAATGTTTTACATAAAAAAAATTCCACCCTCTCTTTCTTCTTCCACCCATCACCTCCTCTCTCATACCACCGCCCCTTCCACTCCTTCATCCTATCTCCTCTCTATTTCTCCCCCTGTTCTTCTCCTACCCTCCTTATCTCCCTGTTACCAAATCAAAAAAGGAAAAAGGAGGAAGAGAAGAAGGAAGGATAAAGAAGAGGAAGCGAGGAAGAGAGAAAGGGTACAAGGGAGGAGGTAGAGGAAAGAGAGAGGAGAAGGGTGGTGGTATTGCTGGGGGTGGAGGAGTAGCGGTGATGGGTGGTTGTAATACGGGAAGATTAAAAACATTTTAAAAATTTAAATTTTTAAAAATATTCGAAATACAATTTTAGAGTAAAAATTTTTAGTATACAATGTTACAATAAAATTTTTTTAAAAAACACCTAATGTATACAAACCTCACCTAATCCATACGGACAACCACGTTGTTTTGTATGATATGGTTTTCATGGTTGCTTTGGTCCCCATTCGAATTTATGAATCAAACCATTATTATGAATTCTGAAGATTTTTGCTTTCAATAGCAAATTCTGATTTCTTTTTTTTTTTAAAGAAAATAAAACCGAAAAAAAAAAAAAGAGGGCTGAAGAAGAGCAAGGGACGCGCTTGGCACTTGGCACTCAATCTGTCTCTTTGAGCAGTTCAACTGGATGGTGCATGTGAAGTGGTGATCTGTACATGCACGTCATGACGTTCACGTGAACAATTAATTGCAACCAGTCTCCACACATAAACTCTCTATTTCTTTTTTATTTTATAAAACAATTTTATAATTCAGTCTCGCAAATCTATACTATTAACGACGGAGATACATCAAATTAGCAAGCACCAAAATTAATAAATTTATAATTCAACAGATACATTAGATTTAAAAAAATGGCACCACGAATTGAAACCTCAAAATATATATTTTTTAATTAGATGAATCACTGCACCTCTTTTCCGTGCATGTCTTGAACTGCCAAATCTGATGTAAAACAAATTTGGCTTACGAAGAAAGTTAGATGTGTCATAAACTCTCCATTTTGATCATAGAGAGATTATGAATAATAGGTTTGCTCAAAAGTAATACCAAGCACTCTTTAAATGAGGGATAAGGTACGGCGCCAAGTAATCACTTGTTGATTTGTTTAGCGTAAATCCTCCTCATTCTTGAAATGTAGCAGTAGGGAGGTCCGTTTTTCTATCTGTTCCAAAGCTAGGACAGGTACAATAATAATATCAACATCTTCTAGAATTCTGGTACACACCTGACGTTAGACTCTCTCGTTATTTCGGACAAGGAGCACGGACGGTTGAAGGTGCAATCGTCCCTGACGGTTTTGACCATTTTCAATAACGCGTAACTTTGATTACGCACGGCGTAACTTTGTTTGCACAAGGTGTAACTTTAGTACAAAATTTTGCGGGCCCCACACACGATGTGAAAATCGATGCACAACTTGTTATCTGGACCGCACAAAATTTTTTGACCATATCATGACCAAATTTTTTGACCGTCCCTGCCCCATTTCCCGTTATTTCTTATTCACACATTGCACTGAGATGACAGTTGAGTCTAAAAAGAGTTGTGGATGAGAATAATGCAACACAGGCCGATGAATCACCCCTTTAATTTTTTTTTTTAAAATAAATTCCGGAAACAATAAACTCAGGAAGATGGATCACTTGAGTCGATTCAGCAGATGGATTGTGTGGTGCAGCCTCGAATCGATTGGAGATCCCTGCGGCTATTGGACCACTATTTGGCAGAGCTGCAGTTAGACCACAGATTTTCTTGTCCATGCAACAGATGGGTAATTCCTTAAATTCTGTGTAAGGTTTAGAACTGTTTTATTCCAGTGGTTCCGGCTGTTCCATTCCAAAGCTGAAAAGGTCATAGGCATGATAACATGTCTGTTATGTGCAATGAGATTAAGCACATGATCATTGTTCCACAAAAAGTGTGCTCTCTCAGCTACCTGGACATCATCAAGAATAAAGAATTCAGGTTCAGAATTTTTCCCCATTTTACAGTCTCCTTCAGCTTATAAGAACTTGAACAGGAAATTTAGATTCTTCGATAAAAGCTATAGCTGACCTAGGAAATAAACAAGGCAAAAAGTTTTAACCGTTTAACTAACACCATCAGTCCGTTTGATAGAGTTTATGGTACTTCTAAAGGTAAATTAGAAATCCTGCCTCATTTGTTTACTTAGTTCCTGATGGAAGACAATGAATAGAAACAACCCTTCCGTTGCTTCTTCTAGGTAGCCCTTTTCCATTACCTTTTCTTTGTTGTCTATCACGTTTATTTTCTCATTGTCTAGTTTATTAACATCCTATTCGGGATTTAGATTTCGCTTTTGATGTCACAAATCACAATTTATAGCACAGATCTTTTCCTCCATCTAACTCCTTGTGATTAATAATACCCTTATCCAATGAAAAGAAGGAAACCAGGGGTCTAAGCCATGAGAAATTAACATCAGCAAAGTTTACCTGAAAGTGGGAGCTGTTGAGGCAGCATGACATACGCCGAAACAACGGCACCATGATCTTCTCAAAGTCTACCATGCTAATCATTTCCAATAGCTCTTCTAACTCACTTAAAAACATCAATTCCTTCTGACTACTTGTTACAGGCCAGTATTTCAGAAGCCCCTGTATCACCATTACAGCCAACTTTTGCTCCTTTTCAACAAACTGTACAACACAGTATGCCAACTGCTGATGATAGACACCCAGTGATTTTGGTTTATGTAAAGGAATTAAAGCCCTGGAGAGGAACACTTTGTGCTCCTCCTTCAATGGTAAAGCAAACCCACTTATTACACTCCCAAATACCTCCAGTAGCTCAGCAATTCCATTATGTCGTTCAGTCTCGAAAACAAATCGGTAGAATATATTGCTTACAGCCTTTCTGATAAAAGGCCTGTGCATCATGAACTTTCCATAAAGACGATGCAGAATTGATTTCAAACAATCTCTTTCTCTTGGATCCTCAGAGTCAAATAAATCAAGTATCCTTATAATGAAAGAGTGGTCAATGTACTTCTTAGCTAGCTTTGCATCGAGACTATTTTGATTCAGGACTCGGAGAAGCAGGTCATAGACAAGCTGCAAATGGGACCAAGCTGGATCAAATAATGGTTCTTCTTCTTCACTTTCACCACGAGGAACATGAGAGTGATATCGGGGTGGAAAGTCTCTGAACAAGTTAACCGCGCACATTTTGCAAATTGCAGCAATTGCTGATTCAGTGAATTTTGCAGAACCTGAAGCAACAAAATCACCAAGTTCTAATAATATCTGGTGTTTAAGGTCTTTCTCCTTGGTGTTCTTGCCTGGATCGCTGAAGTCATATACCAAACAGCAGAGATTTAACTTACTCACGAATAAGCTCTGTTTATCAGCGTTTGGAACATCTTTAAAAGGAACATGAGGCTCGACCAAGTCCCCTCCAGCTATGATGCTAGCAGGAAAAATTGCCCAAGACTTCCTCTTTACTACATTCAGTCTACTCGATATCACACTGCAAGTGTTGGTAAATTGGATGCCGTTGTCTGAATTTGGACTAGTGTTGCAAGAATCACTTCCAACAGAGGTTAATGAATCAGATTTTAATGACTTCCTAGGGAGTTTAGCTAAAATTTGCTTAAGCATAGTAGCAGGTCTCCAATCTGGAAAGTTAAAAGAAACCAAATTAAGAGAAAAGTACTTCCAATAAGATATAGACAACTTCAACAATGTAAATTCTTGACTGAGAAAAGCAAAAGCAACAAGGAGTTATATTAGATTTGCGGAAGAAACCTCGTTTAATCAAAGTCTTCCAATTTTAAACAAGCAATTAAACATATCTATTTGCATTACTCTCCCCGTTTCTGCAACCCAGCTCAATTAGTTCAACTTTCCTAACCTGTACAATTAAACACACTACACTAATACACCTCTAAGCTCATGAATTCTACCTATTTGCTCATAAAACTAATTATAATAGATATCCAAAAGTTTTCATAGTTTAAAATGGGCACAAATAAAGGGGAAAAAAACGCTGGTGCAAACAGATCAGTTAGAGCTATTTCTCAAATTGGTAGTAAAGAAGTCAAAGATCAGGCTCTAACCAACAAGCTTCAGCACATTCATGAGCAATTACATGTATACTAATGTACGTCTAAATTACAGATCTGGGAATTGGATTGCAGCAAGACAGAATAGTACAGATCCCCTTCTCAGCTCTCACCACCAGAAAAAGATGAAAAACCAAATCAAGAAGAAATCCCGGATCATATAACACACAAAAAAGATGAAGAATATTCCCAATAAGAGGGAAAAGAAAAAGGCCTTCTTTTGTTTTCCCTTTCCCATTTTTTGTCATTGTAAATGGGTTAAAATGCAACATAAACCAACCCCCCAACCCACCAAACCCCAAAAAAATGAAAACTTGAGCATCCAGCAAAAGTCAGTCACAACCAATCTTGGATTTAAAGAAAAGCATTAAAGAAAATCCGTACATACTTAATACAGTGAGATAAAAGAGAGAGAACCTGGGGCTTGTGGGTCTGCTTTGAGGAGCACCAGAATCAGAGTTGGACTGTGAAGAAGTAGAAAGATTCCTGAGACAATTGCAGCAGGGAGTGGTGAAGATCGAAGAGAGATGTGGTACTACTTGCGCCTGATGGCCTTGTGGTACTACTATACTACATGAGAGAAAAGAAGTAATCAAAGGCAATCAATCAAAAAGTTAACTTTCTTCCTTCTTTTTCTCTTTTAGTAGTAGCAGCAGCAGACTAAGGAGATATCAGACTAGCAATAGTTATACAAAAGAAGCAGCTAGCTTGTGAATGATCAAAGACATAATTATGAGGACGGAGGACCCATATCTGGGTACCAAGGAAACATTATTGTGTGTTTTTCAGTTTTTGGTTTGATTATGGGTACTTTTGTCTTCATCCCACTTGTTTTCATGTTCTAATCTGAACAACAAGAAGAAGGAACAATCCCTGCTAGCTAATCTATTTTTGAGTTAATACTACTAAATAGTAGTAGTAGTAGTTGAGTCTTCAGTGGGAAGTATGATATATTCCGTCTAAGTTTAATAGTATCATTAGGATTTAGGACTGCTATTATTAGTTTAATTGGTGCTCCATTTAGTTTTGTAGTAGTAGTAATGTAAATACGACTAGTGTCCTCGAATGAAGTGCTAAGCATGAGAGAGCAGGCCGGCATTTTCTCAGAAAATGCAGGCACTATTTTTCAATTGGAAATTGGTCTCTGACTCTCTGCATCTTTCAGTTACCCACTGCCCAGTCTTGATTTCTGTATCCTTTCACCATTTGTAACAAAACCACAGAGCACCAGCTCCAGACGGTAAAAATTGGAAATTGGGATCTGGGACGTGGGACTGGCTCCTTCTAGATTTTAGATACTCTTGATTCCTTTTCCTTTTCTTTTTTTTTTCTTTTTAACGCTTGGGAAGGGGATTGCCTTCCTCGTCTTTATTTTCCCTTTTGTCATACACCAGAACTTATTATTGCTTCTTGGGAAAGACAAGAATTTTTATCCCATTATGCAGAAAAGAAGAAAATCCTTTTTCTTATTTAAGGGTTTAACATGGTGGGTTTGAAGTTTAACTTCGGAATCTGCTTCTATGCGGAAGCCATGGAACTATTTTGCATACTATATACTTAGTGTACTATGGTTTTAACGGCTGAATTGGCAAGAAACATGCAACCTGAGTCCGCTCTACGATCTTCGTTGAAAACCTTTAGTACTAATTGGTTTTGTCGAGAATATACTATCATTTTCTGGCAATGATTGAATCACAGGTAATGATTCCATCACAGGGTTGCTTCACATTTTAAACAAATCAAAGATAACATTTTTCAGTTGAACAGGTTGGTAGTATAAGATGTTAAATTGTCCATGAGAATTAGAGAATATATTGGCAGTTGCTGCGTTGAAACAGACAGCTTCTGCTAAGTGTGTGTGTATATATATATATATATATATATATATATATATATATATATTAATAGATAATCAGATACTCGTATATGGGTGCATGTGACATTGTGATGTATGCAGATATTGTTATGTGTACACATGTTGGTCGTGTTCATGTTGCATTAAAAAAAAAAAAAGGGGGGCATACGCACAACTGTGCATATCTACATATCCATCTGTGTAATGTATAGTATGTGTGTGTGTATTCGCATACCTCCATATTTGAGCACATACTCATGTATGTGTGTGTGTTTGATCTATACGGGTATATGGTGTATATGAATAAACATGTGCATCTGTATACTCGTATAAAATATCTATGAACATTTACTGATATGAAAAGGGAAAATCATTCAAAATATCCCTTATATTTTATTAAATAATTTTTTTCATCCTTCACTTTTAATAAGATAATTTTACATCTCTTATAAAATCATGTCAGTAACTTTTGGTCCTAACCTGGGTTTTCAACTCTTTTTTACCCTAAATTTATTACATGACCCACATATGATAATTTTTTTAAGGGTAAAAAGGTTCTTAGATCCCATTTGTAATAAAACAAATGATTTGATCCATATTCGATTTTGCTTCTAAAAAAATTGAATATGATCTGAACTATATTTAACTTTTCTCCTAAAAAGGTGAGATCTAACCCAGTATATATTCATTTTTACCCCTAGAAAAGTAGGATCATCTGACCTTTTTTGTGTATAAAATTTAACCAAATACTGGTCACATGGTGATTTCAAACTACAAAATGGTCGGAAGCCTAGATTTGGACCAAGTTTTATTAACTTGAATTTATAAGCGATGTAAAGTTACCATTTTAAAAGTGAATAATGAAAAAAATTCATAGAGATACTTTTTCTTCAGGAATAAATGAAGGATATTTTATTTACCTAATACAAATAAGCTTTGGGGAGGGTTGGATTCGATGGTAAGGTGGGAAGGAAAAAAATGAAGTTCTAAAACTATTTTTAGATATCAAACATATTTTTTACCAATTTCTAGTTAATATAAGTTTTATAGAGAAAAATAAATAAATTGAAACATAAGAACGTGCATATGAATAAGTAATTTAAAATTTTGTTGCGACATTCACGATTCCTATACAAACGGATTGTTGTATATATCCTGATGGTTGTGTTCGTATTACTTCAACGCAATAAAGCGCCTATACTTAAAAAAAAAAAAAAAAATGCCCAGAAAACTTTTAAACAATCAAATTTCTGCTGCTGCAGTGCAGCGAGCAATTCCTAGATAGCGAGTTGTATAGTGCTGATACTTTTATAATGACATAAGTACTAAATATTTATTTGTGCCCAGAAAACTTTTTGATACATGAGTACGTGTATTACAATACTCATTACAGTTATCTGCCATTACTACTTACTACATCAGCAATAGAGGCGTCAAAATGGGTAACTTGAACGGGTTTTGGTTGATTAAAATAGGTAATGGGTATAAGTAAGTCAATCCATTTATACCTATTTTATTAGATGGGTGTAAATGGGTATGTCAAAAAATGAATTGGATAACTCAATTACCCATTTACAACCCATTTATTTTAATTTTTTATAAACTCATTTAAATTCATTTTTGCAAATTAAGTTATTAATTTATATCACCCTTTGCACCCATCATTATTTTAAATATTTACTTATAATGTTCAATAAGCCTAATTACCAAATTTTTTTCATTCATACTCTATGTCGCAAAATTACATACTATTTAATAATTGAATAATAAGAATATAAAATTTTGAAATAAATATTATAAAAGTTGTAGTAAATCTTATATACACTGACAGTGTATACTCTATCACCGTTTGATTCATGACATGTGTACAAAAGTTGAATTTCAAATTCAAATTTTGCATAGTTGTCATTCATTCAACACTGATAGTGTATACACTGTCAGTGTAAAAAAGATTAATCATAAAAGTTAACATAAAAACTTAATCCAAAAATATTGAATCCCTAGCATTTTTTTCATATGTAAATTTAAATTTTTATTTTGAAAAGGTAGCAAAAGTGGTTAAAACTTATTATAAATTGGTAATGCTGAAAAATGAGAACAAACTAAGAGAAAATAAAATGGTAAGACAAAACTAACAAATAATAATAATAATGAAACAAAAGTAGTTAACATCATAACAAAATGAAAAATTTGAAAAAAAAAAAGAGTAGGGGAAGATAGGAGGTTTGGGGAAGACAATTTTAAATGGGTTAATTGGGTTTGATGGGTTACCCAATAATATTAAATGGGTATTATTGGAGTAACCTATTTATACTCATATGCAAAATTTTAAAATGTCCAAACCCATCTATTCATGGGTGGGTATGGATAAATTTAGTTAAATGGATTTGTTTGTCACCTATAATTAGCAATTAGCATTATGTTCTTCTAAGAAGAAACAGCTATGTTTGGACAGCAAATTTTTCGTTTGCATCGTAAATATATTTTTCAATTCACCTTTTTATATTTTCAATCATCTTTTTATTTCACATATATCACATCACAAAAAGTGCTACAGTAATTATTCAAAATAATTATTTGGAATAATACTCAAAATTCTCAAATTTCAACTAGGGCTTAGCAGCGTCATAGAAGTTTTTTTTTTTTTTAAGCGCCATAGAAGTTGATACAGTAAAAAGAATTAGCTGTAGAATCATGTACTGTAAACTGTAGGACTGAACACTCCTTTTACAAAGATGCTGAAAAGACGTGCACATTGGTTTTACTAGGCGACTGCTTTTTGACAGCTTGGTACATTGAATCAATTTTGCACCCTGATTATCACATAAAACACTACTTTTTGCCTTTTGACGACAGCCTTACTCATTCGGCTGTTTTCATTTGGCGCATGGATGATTGCCAAATGGCACAAATGTCACAAATATGTCATTCGAGGTCATCAAAAGCTTGCGAGTTTGCTTTAAACATTTGTTACACTTCACTTCCGTCTCCATCCCACGCCCAAAATATTAACCCACTGAATCATCAGGCGGCCGACACGTAGAAAGACTGCGAGGAGAAAACTAGCAGTACTACGTGTGACATAGGAGGAGGAGGAACCGGAAAAGAAAAAGGCTCCCACGAAAAAGGAAGAAATCAAAACAAATTGCACTGCAAATAGACTTCCCTAACATTTACTATTTTATGTAGCAGTAATTCGAGTTTTGGATAGAAAAGGCATTTTTCTTTTTTATTGACCCCTCAAGCCCCTTCTAGAAAACCTTACACCAAAATAATTCCTACACAACATGCAAATTATTCTCGCCCGCTTCGATTCTGATGATGCGATGGCCAAGCAATGCAACTTGCAGGTGAGAACTGCTCCAGAAAAAGGCAAAAATTGCATGTGAGAAAGCTATATGCAATTTGTATCCTCCCTTGAATTGATTGAAGATGCACATCATTGATTGGTTCCCGATCATGTGAAGTCTCATTAACAGCGAAATTTTCTTGTTGCCCACTGCAATTATATATTGCGTGCAGTTGGGCTTAATTTGCTTTTGAAATTCTAGTAACTACACGCAATATAACCGCAGTGGCCAACAAGAAATTCTAGAAAATTTGAGGACACCTATCTGTTATTTCTTCTGTCATATACTATCTGTTCAGTACATATTATGTCATCTAAATTAAATTAAATGAAAGGAACAAATGCAATTGCAGTGGAAATGGATTCCAGGTCAAATTTCTTGTAGTAGCTGCAGTAGGAACTCATCCGTAATATCCTCAAAATGCGTGCGTAAAAAATTAGCTACTGATTAATAGAAATGAATCATTGGTCGGTACAAAAATGAGATGGACCACACGCCCATGAGAACCAATAATATCACTAAAAGTAATAAAAAATTGCAATAAAGAAATTTTTGCATTAGTTGTCACATTCATGAATGGTATCCAGCTGGAACTTCCATGGGAGAGAGAGAAAGAGAGAAAGAGACTAAGAGAGAGAGAGAGAGGGGGGGGGGCAGCAAAGGGCTACTTACAATGCTTAAGAAATTTCCCTAT